AAAAAAGAGCAAAGCTGAAGGGCTCACACTTCCTAATTTCAACACTTACTACAATGCTATAGTAATCAAAAGAGTATGGTACTGGCATAAGGACAGACATATAGACTAAGGGAGTAGAAAGAAAAGCCCAATAATGAACCTTCACTTATGTGGTCAAATGATTTTTGGCAAGGGTGCCAAGACCATTCAATGGAGAAAAAAACGTCTTTTCAACGAATGGTGCTGGGAAAACCGTACATCTATATGCGAAAGAATGAAGGTGGATCCTTACATAATGCCCTACACAAAAATTAACCAAAAATGGATCAAAGCCCTAAATGTAAGAACTAAAACTATAAAGCTCATCAGAAAATGTAGGGAAAAATCTTCACAACATTGGATTTGACAGTGATTTCTTGGATATAACACCAAACGCAGAGGCAATAAAAGAAAATTGAACTTTATGAAGATTTTTTAAATGTGTGCATCTAAAGATATTTTCAATAGTAAGAAGGCAGCTCACAAAATGGAAGAACACATTTGAAACTCATATATCTGGTAAAGGACTGATATCCAGAATATATAGAGAATTCATAAAACTCAACAATGAAAAAACAATTCAAAAATGGGCAAAATACTTGAATAGACATTTCTCCAAAAAGGAGTACAAATGACCAATAGCACATGAAAAGGTGCTCAACATCACTAATCATTAGGGCAATTTAAATCAAAACTACAATGTGATACTACCTCACACTCCTTAAGATGTCTTTATCAAAAATAATAAGTGTTGGTGAGGATGTGAAGAAATGGGAACCCTTGCGAACTGAAGGTGGGAATGTAAACTAGTACAGCCACTGTGGAAAACAGTATGGCAGTTCCTCAAAAATTAAAAATAGAATTACCATATGATCCAGTAATTTAACTTTTGAATATATGCTCAAAAGAATTGAAAGCAGGGTCTCAAGGAGATATTTGTACACCCATGTTCATAGCAGCATTATTCGCAATAGCTGGAATCTGGAAGCAACTCAAGTATCCATCAACAGATGAATGGATAAGCAAAATGTGGTATTCAAATACGATGGAATATTGTACAGTCTGAAGGAGGAAATTCCAACATATGCTACAAAGTGGGTGAAAGCTGAGGACATTATACTAAGTGAAATAAGCAGTCACAAAAAGCCAAACACTGTATGATTTCACTTATATGAGGTACTTAGTCAAAATCATAGAGACAGGAAGTAGAATGGTGGTTGCCAGGGGCTGGGAGGAGGGGAGAAAGGGAGTTATGGTTTAATGGACATAGAGTTTCAGTTTTACAAGATGAATAAATTTTGGAGATGGATGTTGGTAGACATTAGATGGTGGAAGGAGATGGTTGCACAACATTATGAATGTATTTAATGCCACTGAACTGTTCACTTAAAAATAGTGAAGATGTTAAATTTTATGTTGTGCGTATTTTACCAGAATTTAAAAAATTGGGAAAAACTGTAATTCAGATCATGTCACTCCTCTGTTCACTGCCCATCCCCATCCCCATCCCCATCAACACCACCACTGGCTCCTGTCTCAGAGTGAAATCGCACACCCCTATAGTTACCTGCGAGGTCCTAGAGACCTGGCCCCATTTTCTCTCTCACCTCATCTTCTACTGCCCCATCGCTCACACCATTTCAGCCACATTGGCTTCCATGAAGTTTGTAAAACATGCTAGACACATTCCCACTTCAAGGCTTAGCGCTGGCTCTTCTCTCTACCTGGAGTGCTATTCCTCCAGATAACCACATGGCTCCCTCTCCTGCCTCCTCAAATCTTTATGCAAATCTTTCCTCTTCAATGAAGGCTAATCTGATGCCTGTTTAATACTATATCCTATCCACTCATTCAATCCCGGCCCCTAGCACTCCCAGTCTTCTTTACCTGGCTCTAGTTTTTCATTTTATTTTTTCTTTAGTGCTTATAACCTTCAACCTTACTAAATAATGTATTTATGATTACTGTTTTTCTGTCTCCTTCACAAGAATATAAGCTCCTTGGGGACAGGGATACTTGTTCTGTTTGCTGATGTACTCCATGTACTTAGAATGGTACCTGGCACTTAGTAGGCATGTAATAAATGTTCATTGAAAGAATGAATTAATAAAATTTCCATCTAGGTTTCAATCAGTAACTTTTGGCTCATTAACCAGAGGAAACCAAACATGTTCCACCACATATTTAGCTAAGATTTGGAGCATGCATGGAGTGAAGTGTTGTAAAAAATCACCTGCTATACTCAACTACCTACCCCCTTCAATGCATATACATAAAGGTTAAAAAGAATAATAAGGGCAAAATCACTGTCAGGTGGGGACTGCAGAAGGGAAGGGGCCTTGGTTGGATGGTGTTTTTGAGCTGCCTTTGTATGCATGCTTGTGGACCCTTTGCATGTCACTTGACACATGTCACCAAATGGTCTGGTGCCTAGCTTCAAAAGCACCACATAATCAGGACCCAACTCATCTAACTGACCACCATTTTTCCTCACTCACACTGAGCGAATGCGGGTCTGCCTGTGTCCAAGTCTGAGAGAGGGGCTGCAGGCAAGTGCTCATTTCTTTCTCTTACTGTGGACTTTTCCTGGCAGCCAAGATGATGAGATGGAAAAAAGCAGATGAGTGGCTACTCCAGAAGTGCATTGGCGGGGTCAGAGGGATGTGGCGCTTCTGTTCCTACCTCAAGGGCAGTGCAGGTGTGTTCTTGGAGTTGTTCCTGCAAGTTCTTAACAGTTTCCGGGTCATCCCAGAGCCTCAATAGACAGTTATGTGTGTCTATGATGAATATAAAAAATGTTTAATAATGCAGTTTGGAAAAAAACATTGGTTTAAAATGATTTTTGAAACATTTGAAAACAGGGGTCCATGGGCGAGCCCGGTGGCGCACTGGAGAGTGCACCACTTGGGAGCACGGCGGCGCTCCCGCTGAGGGTTCGGATCCCATGTGGAGACCGGTTTCCCGCTCACTGGCTGAGCGCGGTGCGGGCGTGACACCAAGGGTTGCGATCCCATTACCGGTCAGTAAAAAAAGACAAAAAAAGGAAAAAAAAAAAAGAAAAAAAAAAAAAAAAGGAAAAAAAAAAAAGAAAAAAAAAAAAAAAAGGAAAAAAAAAAAAGAAAAAAAAAAAAAAAAGGAAAAAAAAAAAAGAAAAAAAAAAAAAAAAGGAAAAAAAAAAAAGAAAAAAAAAAAAAAAAGGAAAAAAAAAAAAGAAAACAGGGGTCCATACCATGAGGGTTCTTTAAAAGGTTCATGGAAAGATTGTATTATCTTTTAATTCCATTTTTCCATGAACTTTTTGAAATACCTTCATATAGGGTAGGATAAAAGCAATCAGCTTCCCTTTCATTCATTCATTCACTCATTTAACAATATTTGTCAAGCACGACTATGTGGCAGCCACTGTGCTGGCAGGTTGGGATACAAGGTGAGCAAGGGCCATAAGTTTTTGTTTCATAAAGTTGCCCCTACAGTTGGGAGACAGACAAGGAATAAGTAAATATATCCCTGTAGTGAAAGTGGTGGGAACCACTGCATCCTGTTCGACGGGGTCCAGTAGTTTCTCGGTGCTGGGTGGCCAACAGCTGGCACTGGCTAACACTCCAGCTCAGCAACATTATGTTTCTTTCAGGGACAAGTCCTTATTTTAAGAGTGAAATCCTGGGTCTCCAGGGAGCAGGTAGGGGAGAACTGGACAGACTGTATCTTTCACTTTGCCATTCAGAATTCAGCCCTGGCAAAGTTGTACAAGAAGGAATGTGGTCTTTGGCACCTTTTGGTTCCAGCATCCTTCTGCAGGCTGCTCAGGGTCCATGTTCTTTTCCCCTGATCTTCAATTTTTGAATAAAATTCAAATGTCTCATGATCCATCCTCAGAGTCTTGTAGTTTTCTGTAAAGTGACAGTTTTCTAATAACAACAGTAACAAAAAGGTCACAAAGGATCACTGTCTGTTAAGTCTCTTCTCCCCGTGCCTCCCATCTTCTCCCACATTAGAACTTTTCTGGAGATGGTTTCTTAACCCAAAGCAGTGAGTAATGGCGATGTCTGATCAAATAGAGCAGGCCGGTGGGGGTGGGGTGGGGAGTATCAGCTTCTTCACCCAGATGCAGCAACCACAGAGGCAAGATTAGGGTGCAGCTCTGTACCTACCCCTGTCTGATCTGTAGGTGAAGAGTTGGTGGACTTCTGGATCCTTACTGAGAAGATCCTGAGCTTAGATGAGCTGGACCTGGAAGTGAGAGACTACTATCTGTCCCTCCTTCTTGTGCTGAAGGCCACCCATCTGCAGGAGGGCTCCAGGGTGGCAACTCTCTGCAACATGAACATCAGTAAGAATTATAATACATAATTGAAATCTTTAGAGGATGCAACCAAAAAATCAATCCTGTGCCTGATAATCCTCAGTCTCTTACTTTGCAGGCTTTCACCATCTCCATCCTGTATAACATGAACATCAGTAAGAATTATAATACATAATTGAAATCTTTAGAGGATGCAACCAAAAATCAATCCTGTGCCTGATAATCCTCAGTCTCTTACTTTGCAGGCTTTCACCATCTCCATCCTGTACGTATCAAGAATGTCAGTAGGAACCCCAACCCTTAACTGGGGAAGGGTAGAAAGAGACCAGTTGTCTTCAGGCTGGTACTTGCCTCTTCCTGAGATATTACCTGCCAGTGAAGGTTGACTGGAAAGAGGGAAGAAGAATTGGGACAGGGTAACTGAAAAACTCCTGTATCTTCTAAGCCTGCCTAACTCTCAGTTTTTAAAAAAGTTGGGATTCTCTAGAACAAACGATAGCCCGCAGACCAAATGGAGTACATGTGGCCTGTGAGCTAAGGATGCTTTTGCATTTTTAAAGGGTTAAAAAAAAAGAAGACTATGTAATAGAAATTGTATGTAGTTCACAAAGCTTAAAATATTTCCTATGTGGTTCTTTACATAAAAAATTTTGCTGACCCCTTCTTTAGAACATCAGATCATCCATATTTGTTTGTTTGCTTATTAAGTGAGGAGACATTACTAACCCCAATACAAATGTGTTCCAGAAGATTTGTTGCTTGAGATTAGCCATACTCCTCTCTATTCACATAAGTAATTGAGAACTGGTGACATTAAAAATCAAGGCTAATAAGGACCCCTTCAAATTATCCAGCCTAAACCCCTTCCTTCACTCATATCTGACCCTGAGGAATCTCCTTCAGAAGTACATGTCTTTTATTCTTCATCATTTTTTCTTGTGCTTTTTGCTTTTCTTTATAATAGCATTCAATAGTGTAAAAAGTAACCTGAGGAAGCCCATAAAATGGCATCTGTCTATGGGGAAGAAAGAAGGTAATCAGAGAAAAGAGTCGCTGTGCACTGGGCAAACCCTAAAAATGTGTCCACTATATATTTTACCTGTCCACAGCCCAGGATTGCATGAGGAATTAATGAAATTCTATACACAGACACTGGGAAAAAATTTTAAATGTCTTCACCATCATCATTATTGCCATTATCACATCATTTTTACCCTTTATCTCTCTGTGTTCTTTCCAGAGTCCCTCCTAAACCTCTCCATCTGGCATCCCAACCAGTCAACCACCACAAGGGAGATCCTGAGCCACATGCAAAAAGTGGCTCTGTTCAAACTCCAGAGCTATTGGCTCCCAAACTTTTACATCCATGCCAAGATGGCCATGGCCAAGGAGAAGGCATGCCATGGTCTGATGCAGGAATATGAGACTCGATTGTGCAGTGTTTGCTACACCCACGCAGGAGGGCTTCCTCTGAACATGAGCATCAAGGGGTGCCACCACTCCCAGAAGCGGTACTCAAGCAGAAAGGCCAGGAGGAAGATGTGGCAATTGACAGATCCCAGCTCTTGGTCTCTGGAAATGGACTGCAAACTAGATACCAACATTATGCCCCCACAGGAGAAGTGTCCTCAGAAGAAGGTGGTTCTACAAATGCCTTCCCTGAAAGTGCCCTCTCCAAAGGAGAGAATAATCAGTTCCCTGGAAAAGGATGTTCACTGTGCCTGGAGGTCCAGCATGAATAAGAAAGCCAAGAGCCACCTCCACATGGAAGGCCTCTTTGAGACGAAGTTCTCTGCCCACCTGAGGACTGTCACCCCCTTTTTTAATCAGTGCTCCCAGATGACAATCAAGAATGCCATCAAGAAAAGCCCCTCCTCCATGTACACCCACTGGGCCTTGAGTGCTGATGCCTGTGCAGGGAGTCCTTTCCGGGAGCACCTGAAGAAGCTGAATTTGAAAGTAGAGACCCAACTCCTGGACCTCTGGCAGGACCTGCACCATTTCCTCAGTGTCCTGATGAGAAATAGGAAGAATGGAAATGCCATCTTTCGTTACATGCTTGGTGACAGAATCTGTGAGCTCTACCTGAATGAGCAGATCGGCCCACCCTTACCACTCAAGTCCCAAACCATCCAGGGCCTGAAAGAACTGCTACCTTCTGGGGACATGAACCCCTGGATTCCCAAAGCCCAGAAGGAGATCTGCAAGGTAGGCCGTGCCTCACAGAAATGGGTTAGTATCTGGCAGATTAGGTCAAGACTGACCAAAAATCCTGTCTCGTCATCTACACTGGCTAAACTAACAGTATAATTACCCACATAAATCTTTACATAAGAGTTCATTTATCTCTAAGGCAAAAGTTTTTCAGCTTTCCAAGAACCAGCCAAAACTCTGAAGTATAATGGAGGGGGAGTGTCAATACCCATCTTCTGTTCCTTCTTCACTTCGTCCCTATATTCAGTCTCCCAACCCATAAACCTCAGAGTATTCTACTGAGGGAAGTTTTAAGACACTGTTATAAGCATTAAGTATTGAAAAGCAGGGTTTTTCTCTTCTCTAGCAGCCATCAAGAAAATGACCAATTGGAAGGAGTTTATTCTTATCCTGAAACATTAGGTAAAAGGGAGGGAATATCCTGAATACTCACAGGAGGTGAGGCCCGTAGCATGACTATCATATCGTCAAGTGCATGGCAGAAAACAAATGGCAGAGTCAAGTTGAGTAGCTGATGAGCACCAAATAAAAGGGTCTACTCACAAAGGAATGAGAGGAGGAAAGTAAGAAAACCATAGGAATGGTGTAATGCCACAAGGCCAGTAAGGGCAGGACACCTTTATCATCCCTAGGCCTCAAGAATTGAGGAGGGGTTGCAGACACTAGAACCTGGTGAGAAAGATCTGTATGGAGTGGGACACTTGGCAGGAGCTGCAATCTTCAGTTGAGGGATGGAGCCAGTCCACAGTGATCTAGCTGAGAAGGATCGGGAGAATAGATACCCCAAGCTCACTCACCTCCTGCTTTCCTATCTCCTGACAGGACACCTCAGCTGAGGACCCCAATCAGAAGGCAAGGGAGGCTGTTGGTGTGGTTCATATAGGTTAATCTTCTGAGGCACGAGCAGGGTAAAGAAGGATAGAGAATAGATATAGAGGAGCAAATGGATAAACAGCAAATTATTCAGTGCTCTATAGTGTACTTACCTCATAAAGCACGTTCACACACATTGTGTCCTCTATGCTTCTCATCATCTCCAAGACACAGACAGAGTGGTATTGATGCCTCTGTTATACAGATGAGAAAAATGAGACTCAGAGAAAGTAAGCAATTAGTCCAAAGCCACACAGATGGCTAGTGGATAAACCAGGATCAGAACCCAGAAGTTCTTGGTTCCAAGTCCAGCATGATTTCCAATACATAATAATTATCCAAGCTTGCACATCCAGGTAGTGTCAGACCAGATCAGTCCAGTGGATCTACAGCTAAAGCTCTCCTTTGCAGAATTCTTGAGTAATAAATTCCCAAAGGCCTCCCTTCCTTTTTTGGAGGCATTTGGGACTAGATTCTCAGACTGGGATTGCACTTCCTGCATTAGCAAAGTCTCACAACAAAGTCCCCTGCTTGAGGCTTGGTCTTCTGCAAAGATATTGGAGGTATTTATATGTAGATGAGACTGACCTATCACAGTTTCTCAGACTAAAAATCTTGACATCATCCTTGACTCACCTTTGTGTTACACCCATGCCTTGTCTATTGGTGAATCCTGTTGGCTCAACCTTAAAAATTTATCCAGAAGTGAGCACTCCTCCCCTCCATTATTGCAACCACTCCCACCCAAGTCCCATCCTCTCTCACCTGGATTACTGCAGTGGACTTCTAACTGATGAGTCTCTGTCTGCCCTTACCCCTCAGCAGGCTCATTTCCACACCAACCCCAGTGTTTCTGCCAAAACATAAATAGTGTAATCTAACTGAAAATAGGTGAAAGAAAGTGTGTGAGGACCTTGAAAACAGATGGCTTTCTGACTCAGTAAAACCATTTCACTTTGAGTAAAATCTAAAGTCCTTGCTAAAACTAAAAAGGTCCTAGATGATCTACACTCCACCTCTCCTCCCTGGCTTCATCTACTATTTCTTCCACCCATGCTTATCACTCCAGCTATGCTGGGCACACTGCCAGCTTGGCTGTGCTGCTCCTGCTGTGTGTGACATACAGATGCCTGCATGGCTTAGTCTCCTGCTCCCCCAGGTCTCTATTCAGGAGTCATCTTCTCAGTGAGGACTTCCTTGGTCCTTTATATAAAATTTCAACTGTATCCCCATTTTACTTTTCTCTTTAGCACTTATAATTATCTAAATACACACATACTCAGAGTGACATTAGCAATATGGTGGAATAGGAGGTCCTCAACCCTTGTTAACCCACAGAAATACTGATTTGGCAACTTTCCAGTGACAAAAGTACCTTTTGGGAAGCTTTGGGGCCAGATAGGAGTTTGCAGCACCTCCCTGGAGTTCAAGACCAAGTAAAACTGCTTTGAGAAGTCAGGTCCATGCCTACAGTAGCAGGCCTACCTGTCATGGGTCTGACCACAGATCCAGAATCAGACCCACTCCTCTTTGGACTCAGCTCTAGCCTCATTTTTCTGCAATTCCACCACCAGCTCCACCTGACCATGGTTCTGGCAGAAATCATGCCCTCCTGAGACCCTGGCAATAGGCACATTGGCTGCAGACCTGACTGGACGTGGAAGCAGTTCCACCTTGCTCAACTGTAGTCCTAGAAGCCATACTGTCTGCCCAGGGGCCAGATGGGAATTATGCCAACCTATGCCTTCAGTAACAGGCAGTATTAGTCTATTTCTGCTGCCTATAACAAAATACCTGGAACTGGGTAATTTGTAAGAAAATGAAATTTATTGCTTACAGTTTCAGAAGGCAGAAAGTTCAAACTCCAGGGAAAACATGTGATGAAGTGACTCTACAGCAATGCAGGGTGTCACATGGTGAAAATGGTGGAGCAGAGAGAGAGAGCGCTCCTCATGTACTCTCCTTTAAAAGTCCTCAGAATCATGCTCATGACCACCATTAAGTCCTCACCTAATTAATCCATGTCCTAGGGCACTGTCCTCATAATCTAATGACTTCATCAAAGCCCCACTTTTCAATACCATAATAGGATTTTTTATTCACATAACACTGTCATAATGGGAGCCAAGTTTCTAATACCAAATGTTGGGGGACACAATTTAAACCTCAATGAGTTTGAGGGAACATTCAATCCACAGCACAGGCCCACTGACCCTGGACCTGACTGTGGACCCTGAGGCATCCCTGTCTACCCATGGACCTAGAGGCAGCCATACCCAGCCACAGATGTGATGATGGCTCTGTAAGACTGCTGGCAGACCCAGTTTTATCCCTGCCCACTCATGGACTCAGCTCTAGCCCTGAACACCTTCAGACCTGGAGGCAACCCCTATTGCCCATGGACCATGCTTCAGCTTCATCTGACCATAGACACAGCTCCAGCCCCATCCACCCACAGTCTCAATGGCTTTATCTGGTGATCCAACAGTAGGTCTGCTTGTAGACACAACCAATGCACCAGCCCAGAATCTGATTGCGCTGGGTGCTGAAAGTCTTTATATGCCAAAACCAGCCTGTAAAGAGTGAAAGCAGTGACTCCTCCCTCAAATTCAAAGACACCAATGCATGGCTACAAGGAGCACAAAATATCAGACACACATGACACCACCAAAGGAAATTAATAAAGTCCAATAATTGGCCATAAAGAAATGGAGATTCATAGACTGCTTGACAAAAATTCAAAATAATCATCTTAAGGAATTTCAGTGAGCTACAAGGGAACATAGAAAAACAACTAAACAAAACTAAGAAAAAAAATAAGTGTACAAAATAAGTAGAAACCATAAAAAATGAACCAAACAGAAACCTGGAGCTGAAGATTACAATGACTGAACTGAAAAATTCAATAAAGACCTTCAACAGCAGACTTAATCAAGATGAAGAAAGAAACAATGAACTCAAAGACAGGTCATTTGAAATTATTCAGTTAGAGAAAAAGAATGAAGAAGAGTGAAGAAAGCCTATGGGACTTATGGGACACCATCAAGTAAACCAATATACACATTATGGAAGTGTCAGAAGAGGAAGAGAAAGTGGCAGAGAGCTTATTTAAATAAATAATGGCTGGGTGTGGCCAGTTAGCTAAGTTGGTTAGAATGTGGTATTATAACAACAAGGTCAAGGGTTCAGATCCCCATACCAGCCAGCCACACAAAACAAACAAAAATTAAAAAGAAAAAGAAACCTCCACCAGAAAAAGTAGGCCCAACAGATCTGCAGCTCTCTGTGTGTAAACAAAAGAAAGAATGGCTGAAAACACGAATCTAGGAAGAGAAATGGACGTCCATGTTCATGAAGCTCAAAGGTACCAAAATAGGTTGAAATCAAAGAGGTTTACATGAAGATACATTATACTTAAATTGTCAAAAGCCAGAGAGACGGAGAACTTTGAAAGGAGGACGGGAAAAGTGACTTGTCATATACAAAAGAGCCCTCATCAGACTGTCAGTGGATTTCTCAGCAGAATCCTTGCAGGCCAAGAGAGAGAGGGATGATATATTCAATGTACTGAAAGAAAATAACTGCCACCAAGAATACTTTACCCAGACAAAGAATAAAGAAGAAATAAAAGCTTTCCCAGACAAACAAAAACTAAGGGAGTTTGTCATCATTAGATCTGCCTTGCAAGAAGTGCTAAAGGGAGTCATTTAAAATGAAAAGATGCTAAACAACATCTTGAAATGAAAAGATGCTAAACAGCAACATGAAAGCATATGAAAATATGGGTCTCACTGCTTAAGGTAAATATAAGGACAAATAAAGAATACAGGTGTACTTCAAAAAGGTTGTGGAAAATGAATTTAAAAGATAATACAATTATTTCCATGAGCTTTTTGTAATATTGTAATGAAGGCCATAAATCACCTTTACCACTAGCATATAAATTAGAAGAAAATGTGTTAAGAATAACTGTAGCCACAGAAATTAGTTAATAAAAACACAATATAGAAAGAAGTAAACTTTAACATCAATTACATAAACTTTGGCAGGAGTAGTAAAGTCTGGACTTTCTGAATGCAATTGAAGTTAAGTTTTTATCAGCTTAAAACAGACTTATAACTATAAAATGTTTGATATGACCCTTATTGCAATCACAAAAAGACACAATAGATACATAAAAGATAAAGAGAATATAATCAAAGTATATAACTACAAAAAAAATCACAAAGGAAGACATCAAGAGAGGAAAAAAACTATAAAACAGACATAAAACAATTAACAAAGTGGCAATAGTAAGTCCTTACCTATCAATAATTACTTTAAATGTAAATGGTCCAAACTCCCAAATCAAAAGACATAGAGTGGATGAATGGATAAAAAGATAAGACCCAATTGTAGATTGTCTACAAGAGAATCATGTTAAAGTTACATACATAGGCTGAAAGTGAAGGGTTGGAGAAAGATTGTCCATGCAAATGTTAACCAGAAAAGAGCTAGGGGTGGCTATAGACTTTAAGTCAAAAACTGTCAAAAGATATGATGAAGGTTATTATAAGTATCAATTCAGCAGAAAGATATAACAAATATAAATATATATGAAGCCAACAACAAATCACCAAAATATAGAAAGCAAACATTGACAGGTCTGAAAGGCAAAATAGCAATGTAATAATATTGGGAGACTTTAATACCACTCTCTCTACAATGGGTAGATAATCCATACAGAAACCAAATAAGAAAATAGCAGAACTGAACAACATTATAGACCAGTTAGACCTAATAGACATATATAGAACTTTCCATGGAACAGCAACAGAATACTCATTCTTCTCAAGTGCATACAAACATTCTCCAGGATAGATCACATGCTAGAGCACAAAACAAGTTTTAACAAATTTAATAACATAGAAAATATCTCAAGTATCTTTTCTGATCAATGACAGTAAAATAAAGCTAGAAATTAATAGTAGAAAATGAGAGAATTTAAAAACATATAATTAAACAACACACTCTTAAACAACTATCGTATCAAAGAATAAATCAAAAAGGACATTAAAAAATATCTTGAGACAATGGAAAAAAAAACATAATGTACCAAAACTTAATGAGATGCAGCAAAAACAGTACTAGAAGGGAAGTTTATAGCAATAAATGCCTACATTATAAAAGAAGATCGCAAATAAACCATCTAACTTTATACTTCAAGGAACTAGAAAAAGAACTAAGCCCAAACTTACCAGAAGGAAGGAAAAAATAAAGAGTAGAGAATAAATAAATAAAATCGAGTACAGAAAATCAATTTTTAATAAATGAAACTAAGAGTTGGTTTTTCAAAGACATACACACAACTCCCCCCATTCCTGCACTCTTCACATGAATGCTACATTTCAGCCACTCTGGAGTATTCTTCATTCTCAGACATATTCTTTCCCATCTCTGTGATTTGCTTAAGCGCTTCCCACTGCCTGGAATCCCCTTAACTTCCTTATGGAAAGTTATCCTGCAAGGTACAAATTTTACTTTAAATCTCCTTGCCCTTATGAATTCTTCCTGGATTTCCCTGGCTCAATCAGAAATAATTGTTCCCCTTTCTCTGCTCCAAGAAAACTTTGTTCACACCTGCATCACAGCACATGTCCTATCCGTCTTCATCACACTGGAAGGTGAGCCCCTTAGAATAACACTGGTAGCATATCGATCTCTACATTTCCAGCAATTTGCACAGTACCTGACACACAGGAAATATTTGTCAACTAAATAAATGAATGAAAGTGAGACTAGAGATAAATAAATCTAGCTAAGCACTAACTCACAGGTTTTGTTGTTGTTTGCTTTAATTTAATGAAATATTCTTCACAAATGGGTTAGATTTTCAAGTGTGAGATATAAGGATACAACAAAAAGAGATGCTTGGTTTTCAGGGTCATTTTGAGAATCAAATGAGATAGTAATTTGGAAAGGAACCAAGTAATAAACAAATGTCAAGTAATTGTCCTGAAAATTATTTGTTACACCTCTTCCAAAGTAAGTATTTATTACTATTTTTTGAAACGTACAGAGAGGCTATGTGAGCTGCCATATTCAGAGAAATAAAGGAATGCCTCCTGGTTGGTCGTCGTTAATGTTCATTGTTCCATTAGATCTCCAAATTAGAGAATCCAGAATCTGCAGCCTACTGAGCTCCCAGGTGAACAGAAGCAGGAAAGAGGCAGCAAGCTGAGTAATCACCTCATAACGCTTATGTTCTGTTTGGATTTCAGTTGCTTAGCCCCTGGTATGATGAATTCCTGGACGAAGAGGACTACTGGTTTCTCATTTTTACAGTAGGAGGGACTTTGGGTTGGGAGGAATCATGAGAGTGAGGGAAGAAAAGAGAGTAACTGCTGTTTTAGAAGACTTACTTATTAATCTTATTTGTGAAACTTTGATTTTTCCTGGAGGCAACTAGAGATTGACATGATCCCTTATGTACTGAAGATAAACCTCTCAAAGAAAAAGACAGTGCAGTGCATAAGCTGATTTTGAAGAAGTTACAATCCTGTAGAATGTCTTCCTTATAGAAAACAAGTGTGATTAGAAGAGGGAGGGGGTTGGTGTACAAAGGAGCAATGGTTCTTAACAAATTGGAAACAATCAGCATAAGTCTGTGTGACAGGGAGGCATGGAGAAATGAGTTATTATGACACTCTTCTTTCTGATCTAGTTTCTATAGCAAATACTGTCTGCTCCCCACTCCCTTCTCTTAGACTCAGACCAGGTTCATCCGTGCCAAGAGGCATAAAAGAGAATCTATAAGCAAAGAAGAGAACATCCTTCTTTATAAAAGAATACAGGAATCTCTGGAGTTGAGCCAGGCTTTGGCTAACATGGATGAAATGGATTCTATGCAGTGGCAAAAGATAGCTACTGATGACCTGAGACAAGGTGGGTCTCTCCAGGTAGAGGTGAAGTCTCCAGTGATTCTGTCAGGTAAGAGCAGTCACTTTAATTTTTTTGACCCTTAGATATAGGCAACTGGGAAATATTAATATTTAACATTTTGTGATTATTTACTATGTGTCAGCACTGTGCAATGTAAAGATTACCTTATTTGATTTTCAAAATAACCTGAGAGATAAATACTAAGTAAATGAGGCACAGAAACCATGTGACCTTCCCAAGGTCACACAGTAAGTGGCAGAGTTAGGATTTGAATCCAGACAGACTGACTGTAGGGCTCCTACTGAGGGAGCCAGAGCACTCAAATTTGGCCAGACTCTTGCCCACCAAAGCATCACCACAGTTAATGTTGAATAATTCATTTCCTGCATCTGATAAGCATGTTCCACCTCACAAAGCTTCTCCAGAATTAGGTCCAAGCGCATTTCAGTGAATATATTTTTAACAGCTACCCCCTTCCTTAACATAACACTTCAGTGTACCCAGACACTGGAGATAAGTGGTTAGGAGTATAAGGCTCTGCTGTCCCAGAAGTCTGGGGTCATATCCTCGCTGTACTATTGGCTGTATATATTTGAGCAATGTATTTAAACTCTCTTTAACCCCAATTTTCTCATCTGTTAAATGGGAATAATAAGCTTGTTGTGAAGGTGCCCTGAGATCATCTATGAAAGCTACTAGCACAGTGTTTGGCAATAGTAAGCATCCAATAAATGTTAGCCATGATTATTCAAAGTGAGCATACTGCTTTAATTATCTATGTTGAGAAATGTTGGAGTACTGCAGTATTTCTCAAGCTTCAATTCACAATAAACACATTTGACTTCATGATTCTTATATAAATATGTGTACATACATATTGGAAAAAATTTCACAAAACAATGCCTACCCTTATTAGATAAGCTGATGTATTCTAACATTCTCTGTTTATTCTATTTCATGTTGTAAAAGCTAATAATGACTCAATTCATTTTTTGACATACTAATGTCCTACACTTTGAATAATGCTGATAGGAGTAAGCAAAAGCTTTGAAATTTCAGTTGTACCACTGACTTACTCTGTGAGCTCAGGCAAGTCACTTCATCTATCTGAACCTCATTTCTTCATCTGAAGAGTGGGAATAATATCCCCTCCTTTACAGGATTGTTGAGAGCATTAGAGATAATATATTTATACAACAAGCAGGTGTTCAATAAAGGGTACTTGTTACATTACCACAAAAATATTAGTACCCAAGATTTTTTTAAACCTCAATGTATACTCTATATACAAAGCAAGATGCCCTGGATGCTTGCCCTTCAGAGCCAGGTTTGGTCATGAGTTATTTAAATCTAGCATAAACAGGACCTCTTTTTTACCTAAACTGTTCCGTCTTCTCTCTAAAACCTGCACCTCTTCCAGAACCTCTCCCAGGAATCAAGACAAAAGTAAAAGAAAGGATGGCTGGTAAATTTCAACATAAACATGCTGGGCAGTCGGTATTACTTTGGTGGCTATGGAGTGCCAGGGGTGGCCAGGAAGAGTGTGAACCACCCTCCATGGAGACCCTTTCCCTCCCCTCCACACACATCATTACTTTCTCTATCATTGCTGTTTTGGAGTCTGATAAACAGTCCCTTTTACATTTGCCCAAGCCAGGGCCCTGGCCCCTAGGTAGAATGATGCCTCCATTCAGGCTGCACCATAACATTCATTTGGGTGAGTTATTTCTTGTATGTGCATTAACAACTAGCTGTTGTTTCAAGTACCATCTCCGTTACCCAAGCACCACTCAGGCAGAAAATCTTCAGGTTTCCCTAAGGGCAGAATCTTCCCATTCTGGAGGAAAGGGGGAGTTATATTTCCTTGCTTTTAATTTGTCTTAGGGAACTTGTATTCTTTATGTAAACATTGTATTAAATAGGACTAGTATTCTATTTAAATAACATTTTATTTTATTTATTTTTATTTTTTTTTTTTTTTAAGATGACCAGTAAGGTGATCTTAACCCTTGACTTGGTGTTGTCAGCACCATGTTCACCCAGTGAGCTAACCGGCCATTCCTACATGGGATCTGAACCCATGGCCTTGGTATCATCAGCACCACACGCTCCCGAGTGAGCCACGGGCCGGCCCTTAAATAACATTTTTTTTTTTTTATTATTTTTTTTTTTTAAAAGATGACCGGTAATGGGATCTTAACCCTTGACTTGGTGTTGTCAGCACCACGCTCAGCCAGTGAGCGAACCGGCCATCCCTATATGGGATCCGAACCCGGGGCCTTGGTGTTATCAGCACCGCACTCCCCCGAGTGAGCCACGGGCTGGCCCTTAAATAACATTTTAAAGGCAATACCTTTAACAAAAGTATATGAATCTTTGAACCAAGAGTGGACCACTAGACTCTATTTTTTTCCTTACTTCACAGACATAAATAAAATGTCCTTTGAGGAATTATGCTATAAGAATCCAAAGACAGCCATAGAGAAGATCAGCGATGACTACAAACTATATTGTGAGAAAGCTCCTCAGACAGGCAAGTGTGTAAACTCAGAGACAGATCTGAGCCAAGCAGGTCTTCTCAAATCTAAGAGAGAATCTCTAAACTCAAGAGGCACAAGCCAAAGAAGACCATGCTTTGTTTGAAATGGAAAGGCATTCAGGGGATAATGACCATGTATGTATCTTTTCTTTTTCTCCTATAAAGCTATAGAAGGACATCATGAAAATGAAATGCAGTTGTAAATGAATGAAGATGATGATGATGATGATGATGAGAAGATTGTGCACCCCCACTTTCTTATCTAGTCATCACTTGGGGGTTTTAAATAATATGAATTCATCCTCTTCCAAGTTTCCCGGAGTCATAGATTTGTGGAAGGATGTTTGTAAGGGAGTGTTTTAGGGTGTAGCACCTGTAAGGGAGTGAGGAAGGAAGGACTGGGCAGAAGGAGATGCTTCACTATGAGGCAGCTCCAACAGGCCTCAGCAGATATGATAGGAAACCCTGGAGCTAGGATGGCCCTTCAGAGCTGCCCCTCCTTGAAGGAAGGGACATGAGCTTTTATACCTCGACACTGACCCACATGGAATGTGGATGCCCCTGGAGAGGAAATAACCTTGGGTCGGCAGTTTCCTTTAGCTGAGGCAACTCCCAGAGGGGGCCTCAGCTTTGAGCCGTCAGTCGCTATCACTCTAGGCAGAGGGGGAATGAGTACTTTGGTCCTAAAGGGAGGACCTGGGCAGCACCCAGTAGCACTCACGACTGTCCACTTCCTTTGTATAGAAATTTCACTCCATCTTGGAGTAGCTCCTCCAGGAATCTGGTTGGTTTCTTTTCCTGGGGAACTTATTTAAAGAAAGTTGATATACACTACTATAGTTTGTGTGTAGGCCACAATTAATACTCCTCTTTCTCTCCTGTGCTTCCCATCCTAGACTCCCTTCATGCTCAGCTATTATCTCTGCTAGTTTTGGGGGGCTTACTAAATAGGATGACCTAGACTCTCATCCCTGATGTACCCAAGCCCCTGGTCATCATGACTTCTTAGGCTGCAGCTGCTTTGCTTGGCAATTTATCATTGAAATTGGGCCATGAGTACCAAGTGTGGCAAATGAATTCTCCCCTGTCCTTGCTATATAGCTCATGATCCTGATGTTTAGGATCAACTACCCTACCAGTATGGTGACTCCTTTGCTTGCCTGCAGGCCTCTTGGCATAAGGAGCTTAAAGTAACTGAGCGTGTACTGTGTCCCCTGGTTGAAGCATTCCTCTGCCAGGAATCAGGATCTCTAGACCAGCACTGTCCATTACATGAGCCACTGGACCCATATGGCCACTGAGCATTTGAAATGTGACTGCTACAAATGGGTTAAATAAAACATGCTATTAAAATTAATTCTGGAGGGCTTCTGGTTGAGATGGTGGAATAGACAGTCTCTAGCATGATTCTCTCCTACAAATCAACCAATTTACAACTATAAAAAAGCAACAACAGCCAAGCTGGGGCCACTAGTGCTCAGAGGAAGAGGAGGAGAGACCTATGGAGTTCATGAAGGCAGGAGAAGCCACGATGAGAGAAAGAAAAAACTGCTCCCACCATTTTGTGCCATGGCTGCATCCAGGCTGGAGCTGCTGAGCAAACAGAGCAGGAGCTAGCAAAAGCTGCAGCTGTGCCCTTCAGATAAAGTTGCATGGGGGTGGCAGGGGAGAAGAGGTGGCCCCCAGGCCACCAAGACCACTAATAGGGTTCCTGTGGACCCACATAGGAGCAAGGAGCCACTCAGAGGCCAGTGAGTCATTGCAAGGGACCAGTGCACTGCCCGTGCCATGGGAGGTGTTTGCAGCATGGGCAGTGGGGGAGATGGGCCCAGTGGGGGAACACTGGGGCACAGCAAGGACAACTGACCAGAACCCCAATCAGTGAAGAACCAGTCAAAGGAGACTGGTCTGGAATATAGAATTGCATGGGATGCAGCTCGATGAAAAGACTCAGGCCCAGATCAGAGTTTCTATACAATCCACGTGCACCAGGTCTCTGGAGAGCCAGAATTACGTATAAGGTCAACCATTAAAACCTGAGTTGTACAAAAAGCCTTCCCTAGGGAATCAGTTGCAAAGCAACAATTTAGCTAAACCACACAGCTCAAGTACTGGTCTCCACAGGAAGTTCCCCCATTTTAGAAGTAAGCAAAGGACAAAAAATTAGTTCTGGCCCAGACATACCACCAGCACCTCAGTGCTGCCCAGGGACCTGAGGCATGGATCCAGGGACTGGACCCCCCCTCCACAACCAGGCACACTGCCAATGTCAAGGAACATGCCAAAAACATCACCTCCCTGTGGGTGGCCCACCACAGCCATCACAATAACCATGGCTGCCATGAAAGCAGCTAGATACCACAACCACTATGCAGATGGTCAGCTAGCCACTTGAGTGCATTAACACAAAGAGAGTCACCAGCAGAAACCAAAGAAAAGAAGAGGATGCCTCTCTCCACAAAGCCCATTCCAGAGTGACAGAAGAAGCATCTGCTCTACAATAATATTGGAGGACCTGAACACACCTCTCAGCGTTAGACAGATCATCTAGGCAACAAATCAACAGAGTAACCATTACTCTTTCAGAAGGAGGGGAGAAATCTAAGGTTAGCAGTGGTGGGAGGGGGGAGGGAGAGGAGGATAGGGAATGATTGGACAAGGAGCATAAAGAATAAGTATGATCTGTAGCAATATACATGCTAGTAATATTGATTCGATTAACATATGTCAACACTGAACCCCAAAATATGTATAATCAATTATGATTCAATAAAAAATTTTAAAAAATTAATTCTTCCCTTTTCCTTTTAGGGTTTTAATGTGATTACTAGCACATTTTAAGTTTCATATGTGGCTCACATTAAATTTCAGCTGGAGAGCACTGGTCTAGGCTCACAGAACCTAAAACTGTGAGAATGACAAGGTTCCCAAAGTTATTCATAATACTGATGGTACATGGAACACTTCTACTTTCATTCCTTGGTTCCCAGGACCAGGTACTCTACCTGTTGGGGACACAGCACCATATAATGGTCTTTGATTTATCCTAGAGGGTGATGCCCCTTTTCTCCAAGGTTTCATCTCCAACCTGGTTTCAAAGCCACATCTTTAAAAAGCAGCTTCATTACTGTATCAAGCCAGCAGCACCCAAAGATAATAGAACCAGTAGATCCCATTATCGTGGGACACACTGGCCATTGCCACACCTGCTTGCTATAAGTGTGTCCCTTGGTCAGACGCAATGTTATATGAGCTCCCATTCAGGGATCAAACACTTATGAGCCCCTGGGTAGTGATGCTTACTGAGTCCTTGCAGGTAGGAATATATATCAGTTCCAATCAAGATGAGTTGCTGCTCCTTAAGAGTAGAAGGGATTCAGTATAATCAATTTGCCATCAAGTGGCTGGGTGGTCTTTTTATTAGGTGTATCGGGGGCTCTGAATTTGTCTCTGTTGCTGGCAAGTTGAATGTTTGGCAGCACTGGCAGCTAAATCAGCCTTGGTGAGTATGGGGCACTTGCTGTTGGGGTCCATACATAGCCTCCATCCTTGCCTCCTAGCTACTCTGTTCAGTAGCTCATTGTGCCAGCACTAGGTGGCTTATGACAGAAACTTGCAGACAACAACTGGCCAGGTCATTCTGTCCACTTGGTTGTTTAGTATCTCTTTCATGGTAGTTATTTTTTCGTGGGCTTTAAGATACAACATTCTTCACACTTCATGCTTACTCTCATAGATCCATCTACATGTGTCTCCCCAGACCTCCTTGTCCCCAGTATTATAATTTTTCTCCTTTCACCTGCTTGGGCAGTTTCTTGTGCCATCTGACCCTGCTCACGACTGGTTCCAGGTGCACATTTCCATTTTATAATGGGGTACTGTTTGTCCCACCTATGGCCTGTTGGTCTTGAGGAGCCCACCTTATGATGGGCAGCTCTGTATGCTCACTTGATATCATATGGACAAATTCTTTGACCTAACCATGGCTCAGTAGCACATAGGAATATTTTTTGAACAGTGTAGTTTTCTGCTGAAAATGACATGACCTTGCTCCAGAACCCTAGGGATCTATTTCTTGATTCTCCTTTGTAGGTTTGCCATAAACTCCAAACATTGTCTTTTCCCACCACTGGCACTTCTAAGACCATGGGATCTGTTGACTTTTATCGCTTAAGTGGTAGGGCTGTTTACACCAGAGCCAGACTTGCTGCAAGAACATATTTCTACTCTGAGCCCCCCTAAACGCTGGCAGACTTATGGTTCAAAGCAGCATTTTCAAGTGTGGGATATGTGACTCAAGAACACAAAGAGTTCTGCTAGGTGTTGTGCTTCATTCTTAGTGGTGGGAGATGCAAGATGCAATTACTTGTCCTTATTTTGGAGGGGATGTCCAGGTATGCACCAGACCACTGGATTTCAAAAACTTTTATTGATATAGTGGACCCCTCAATCTTGGTAGGATTTATTTACCTTTACAGCACACGTGTCTTACCAAGGTCTCCAAAATCCTTAGCTTTTCTTGTTCATTTTCTTCAGTTTATATGATATCATTGACAGTTTCTGCAGAATACCCGGGTGTTTCAGTTCCCATTGGATTATATTATAACAGAGGGCAGAAAAAGTTAATACAGTGATAGGCAGAATAGTAAATATATATGTTGTTTGTCCATAAATGTGAACTGCTTCTGGTTCTTCTTTATGACAGGAATGTAAAAGATATATATCTTTTATTTATATATATGAGGGGGTCTTCAAAAAGTTCATGGAAAGATTAGTATTATCTTTTAATTCTATTTTTCCACAAAATTTTTGAAGTACACTTGTGTGTATATATATATCCTGAAAATAACAACTAACTTATAGAGAACTTTCAAATACAGAAAAATAAAACAGTATTACTGAATGATTTGAGAGTTGTCGTCAACCTAATGCCCCTTCACCCTCAAATACATAGTGTATACCTTCTACAGACAAGGACGTTCTCCCACAAAGCC